CGGGGCCCGACGTCTGGTCGCGGAGCGGAGGGGCGGCGGGAGTCCCGGGCCGGGGTCTTGGTCCCCTCGCCTAAGCGACCACCGGGTCCCGTCCTGCCGGCCTCGCAGAGCGACGCGGGGACAGCTGCCTTCCCTGTTCCCACGATCTCGCCGCCAGCGCGGGCGCGGCCAAGGATGCAGAAAGTACCTTAGCAAGAGCGCGTCGGGAGCGTTTGACTGGTTTTTTTTTTTTTTACTACATGTCCCAGCATCCCGCGGCCGGGGCGCAGTCCGGTGCTCCCGCTAGGCTGCTTACTCTGCAAAGCAGACGGTCCAGTAGGGGTAACTCGTGGGCCCTCCGCTCGCATCTTAGGGGTGAAGCACCAGGACCGGCCGCTTTGCCGTGCGGTTGAATTAGCAGGCTCCTTGTCCTGATGAGAGCGAGATCCTGGACCAGGGCGTCAGATCCTGGACGCCCATCGCGATGCCGTAGCTTAGATTTGGCTGGGGTCCTCTTGAAGCCCACCCCCTCGCCCCCACCCCAGCCACTGACACACAGCCGCCAGGTGACACTTGGGTCAACAGTGGGGGATACACTAAATTCCTGGATCAGCGCCGTGGAGGTCAACACAGGGGCTGAAAGGCTCTGGATTCTGGTTGAGCTGGAAGGAAAGCAGCTGGGACTCGCAGCAAAAAAGGTAACCCACATGCCCTCCTCTGCAGGGTTCCTTGGCCAGCTGCACACACCCGCATTCACTGGTATGGACAGATTTCGGGGCACCCCTGGGCTCTCGGTTTTCCATGCACCAGGCCTAAAAATGCAATAGTCTTGCTCAAGGAAGGAACCCTTGCAATGCCTTCCGATAAATGTTCAACTGCTTTATTATTTATTTGCACCCTTCAAAACAAGTCACAGTATTGAGAGGCAGGAGGCAACACATGGAAAAATGGTAAACCTCAGTGATACCAAAAGCACTTCATCCATTAAGCCATTTCTCCCCAGGTCTGACTCTGTCCTGACCCTATCCTCCTTCCCTTGAGACACTCCCTCCTGTCTCGTGTTGCATGTGCTGATCCCCCCCCCTTCGTTCTAGACTCCTTCCCCTTGTATACCTCCCCTCCCCTTCCCCCTTGCTTTTATGCTTGTTGAGTTTGGGCCAAAAGTGCCCAGGGGCTGGACTGACCAACATCGGTCTATCGGCACCCCTCCATTAAAGGATCTCCCAGAGACCTCAAAAGCAAACTTTTATCTGACAGTTCGAAGTCGCCAGCCTGAAGAAGGGGAAGATTTTTTCTCCGAGGAAAGTAATATAGGGCATCGTTGCAATCAGCTCCCTGGAAGGGGAATGGAAGAATTCCAGGCACCCTCCCTCGTAGTCCAGATAAACGCGGATCTTGAAGGTGCCTGCTTTGTGCTGGAGCAGAGCTGAGTCCTCAGGTTGAAGCACCCAGATTCCCTGGTCAAAGCCAACCATCACCTCTCCCGTCCTCTGCACAGATTCCTTCGCAACCCCCAGAGCCCAGCCTTCTCCCTCTGAGGTCAGCTCGACTTCCCAGCAATGCCTCCCCGAGGAAAACCCCTCACACCCCAGCACACAAGGGGTGGTGTCGAAACCTAGAGGACTGGAAACCGAGGTGCAAGATGAGGAATCGTACGTCACCATCTTTCTGCTTGCAGACACGATCAGCCGGGAATGGGCCGTGAAGGGATCCAGGGTTATGTTCTCTTTGGGAAAGCAAGAGAAAGTCCATGTTAGAAAACGGCTCAGAAAAGATGGAGGTCCTTCAGCCTCCCTTTTTTGCTTGGTGGGAATGGAGGCTCAAGGGGTCACACAGCAGGAAATCGGGAAGGAACCGGTCACTGCCAGCCCTTGGCAATATGCCGGTGGACCGTCAGGGAATCGGACCTGAGTGCAAACCTAAAAACATGCTCGCCCCCTGTCAGCATAAACTTCCTTCAATCCAATCCAAGAGCTGGATTCTATTTCAGAGAAGAAGGGTCTTTTGTGGGGCAAAAGATCTGCAAATTTTAGCATAAAGCTTTCACTGCTGGCAATGAAGTCTCAGCAGAGGCACACTGAATTTTTAGAACAGGCAAGAAAGCCCTACAAAATATGGGAACCCTCCGGATTATGGTGCCCTGGGAGGTGAGCGGAGGTGGGAGCTTCGAAAAGCCAGATTTGGCTTCAGGTCTTCCAATCCCCGTCACTACCATCACCATCTACAGCCAGTCACGAAAGGGCCTAGTCCTTCTGCTCAACGCCTGGCTTGTGTCCTGCTTCAGAAAGATGGGTTGCCACCTGAAATCTCAGCCCTTGAATCACCTAATTAACTAAGCCCTCTTGTTCTCCTTACTCCTCCAGTCCTTCTCATCTTTCCAGCTTGGATGTTTACCTCTTTCTGTCTTTATCTTCAGTGGCAAGGCATCTGGAGAAAGAGGAGAAAATTGCAAGCTAGAGTTTGAAAGACAAGAGGAACCTCTGGAACGTCCATCCAAGCATATCTACACATCAGTGTCCCTCTGGTCCCAGGGTGAAATTATGCATGACGGAGTAACAGGAGAGCGAATTCCCCAAAAGCTGGAAGCACACAATTAGGAACGTCCATCCAAGCATATCTACACATCCAGTGTCCCGCTGGTCCCAGGGTGAAATTATGCATGATGGAGAGCGAATTCCCCAAAGGTTGGAAGTACACAATTGCCACAAAGCAGCTTTCCCTGTAGGTTGCAAATTACCCTGTTTTTTTTTTCCTGATTGGTCTTTGAGAGGTAAACACAGGTGTCATTTGCAAGCCTGATTTCTCACACATCGAGGATCACAAGTCTGGAACACCAGTGCAATTTCACATATCTGATGACACATTCGCTAGCGTATAATTTGACTCACAAAACTCCCAGTCCCTGTTCAAACCATAGGCAGCTCTACTGAAGGAGCTGGAGGGGAACAGAGAACAGGATACAACCTCCTGGACCCAAAGGCAGAACGGGGGATGATTTTTATGCACGAGCTTGATTAATAGCCTTCCTTTGCTCCAGTGAGTTCAAAGTGGTGTATGCAGAGCTCAGTTTCATGCTGTTTTATCCACACCAGCTCGTCTTGTGCTCAGTCCATACCTCCCTGCGCCCAGAAGCTGCCGCTGAGTGAGGGAACACCTCTTTGCTTTCTGGGTTTTCTTCCCCCAACACCTCACAGGGAGAATGCCCACGTGCGCCTCCCTTCCCTGATATTTCTCAAGTGCTGCTCCTGCTTCCGCCCATTCTATGAACACCTCTTTCAGAATTTGGAAAGGTGCAGACAGACAGTGATGCAAACGAAGCTTGTTTCCCCACATACTTCACAGGGAGCGAGCACTGGGATTTGGGCCAAGAGCACGATTTGCTTTTAGTCTCCGATCCCAGGCTGTTGGCTACCGGAAGCAGAGCGCTGACGGCCAGCCTTGCATACAACTCGCGGGGTTAAGCCCTTTTGAGTCTCACTGCATCAGAACCGGCAAACGATATTTTTGAACTAACCAAACCCCAGAGTTCTCGTGAGGTTTGTGCAGTTATAGTCCCAAACAGTAACTTCTCCAAACTCTGCATTGCAGCTTTCGTTCCTTAGTTCCTTCCTTGAGCTTTCCTCCCGTAAAATGTCATGTGTTACTTTCCTGCCTGGCAGGGCTGCTTGGCCCACAGCATTGGGATAAAGCTGAATGCATAAACACCTATCTGTTGGCCAGCCCTATCCAAGGCCTCACCTCGGCATTTTTTCAGGGTGTTTTGAATGGACAGGTTCCCAAGAGCCAGCTCCCACATTTTCTCCTTCAAGGCAGGAGGAGCACATTCCGGGGTGTTCAGGGACTCTTCTCTGCACCTAGAGACAGAAGGCAGCATGGGTCAACATCCAGCAAGAGCCAAAAAAAGAAAAGAGAGAAGGTTCTCTTCTAATTGTTCGAGTTCTGATGTAGGAAGCTGCTTCCTACCAAGTTACACTCTCAGTCCATCTAGCCCAGCATTGCCAGCTCTGACCGGCAGCCTCGGCTCTCCAGGGTTTCTGCCAGGATTCCTTCCTAGCCTTATCTGGAGGTTCCAGGAACTGAACCTAGGACCATCTGTATGGAAAGCAGAAGCCCCATCAATGCACCACAAGTCTTTTTTTTTTCAACATAGGAGGAATAATTCCAGAACTGCTTCACCTATAGATGAAGGAGTAACACCTGCACTTTCCTGTATGGATTTCAGGGTGACATGAAAGCTCTGTGCAGACTAGGATAGATGCTCTCATAATAGAAATATGGTCTGGAAAACTAGATTGTCTGGAACACACCTGATCTCCTCCGGCTTCAAAGCTGGTCCTGGCTGGTGTTTGGGCAGGAGCCCACCAAGGAAAAACTAAGATCTCTAGATACAACCCTGCAGCACCGCGCTCAAATATTGGGACATAGACAGCAACGGTGAGAGAAAGCAGAGGTCCCTTATGCTCCCAGCACCCCCTGGGCATATACAAAAGGGACAACAGTGGGTACCATCATGAGCTTCCTGAATCAGACTTAGGCTCAGCTTAGACATCCCTTGTGACCAGGGGATAACACTACCCTACCTTACAAGGTTATCACAGCCATTTCATTATAAAGTGTACGCCTCACTTATCCACTAGGTTTCTGTCAATCAGGGGATGCAGCCCTGCAACCCTTAAAAATGTGGGGAAGAGTTCGCCATCAACCAAGAATGCAACCTGCATCTCGCATATATAAGTTGGCTCAATATGAAACAACCTGATAATCTTTCATTGGTGAACGGCAGTTTATATTTCAGTGACCTCATACAATAAGGGAGATATCTTGGGAGCAGGGGAGGGGTATGGCTTACTTGTTCATAGTCTCTTTGATGCCCTGGAAGGAAAGAAGAGAGGGAAAGATGTTACTCTCAGGAAACATTTAGAGGGGGGGTGCCTGTGTGTGTGTGTTTCCAGCCCAATCTACTTAGCAAAAGATTAAGGACAGTTTGCAAGAGGCTCAGAAATTCCACTCACCTGGGCAAAGCAAGCAGGTGGCTAGGCTGGCCAGCCAGCTTTTTCCCCCTCCCCATTTTCATTAAGGTTGCCTTTCAACAGCTGTCCAGAAGAAGGCACCAAATCCGAGAGATATATTGGACATAATGTGCAGGGAGAGTTTGCTAGTTTTGAAGCTGCTCATGTTCTACTCTATTTGGCCCAGAGACAGCTGGGCGGTGACTCCCATTGGGGATGCTAGGTAAGGCTGATGGGAGTGGGTGTCCACCAACATCTGTTGGCCAGTGTAGCTCAGTTCTGGTCTCTTCCATCCAAAGAGAGAAGGAAGGAGGGAGGGAGGGAATAGATTATCTTTGGGCTTGGACCTGCAACCGTCACGCACTTCAGCTCGGATGCTCTGTGGCACACGTAAACAGACCGGTTCGGCCCTCTCACCTGAAGAAACTGATAAGCTGGCTGATCACACTTTTTCTCCAGCTCGTGGATGTACTTTTTCATACCGCTGTGCTTCCTAAGGAGGTTGGAAAATTCGCTTTCGATCTCCCTCTCAATCGCCTTGGCCAGAATCATTTGCTCCATTTGCACCACCCTCACCACGTCATATAGTTCCTTGTAGTAGAGAGAAGGAAGGAGGGAGGGAGGGAATACATCATCCTTGGGCTTGGACCTGCAACTATCATAGCAACCCGAACGCACTTCAGCTCGGATGCTCTGTGGCACATGTAAACAGACCGGTTCAGCCCTCTCACCTGAAGAAATTGACAAGCTGGCTGATCACACTTTTTCTCCAGCTCATGGATGTACTTTTTCATACTGCTGTGCTTCCTAAGGAGGTTGGAAAATTCGCTTTCGATCTCCCTCTCAATTGCCTTGGCCAGAATCATTTGCTCCATTTGCACCACCCTCACCACGTCATACAGCTCCTTGTAGTCCACGCTGATTGTCTGGGCCAAGTTATCTACAAGTTTCTTGAAACACACACAGACACGGCTTAGGAAAGGCAAACAAATGGTCGGAGAGAAAAGAAGGGCGTGATAGAAGCCGGCATCAGGAATGGAAACAGATGGGAGGAAGAACACTTTTCTGATCAATGTCCAAATTGAACTTTAAGGGGGAGAGAGAGGAAGGGACCAGGATTTCTGGGAGTTGCTGTCCAAGAACATTTGGGGACCCAAGGTTGGGAACCACCGGTAGTGCTTGTGTGACGGAGGTGGAGTGCCACACACACACACTGTACTAAGTTAACTACTGCCAGCTTCTCCATAGCTGGAATGAAAGGATGGGGGCTTCTGGGTAAGGCTGCAACACACACACACTCATACAACCTTTTATTTTTGAGCTAGATGTTTAATCAGGTTGGGCCCAAGAAACAAAGAAATAGATCCATTATTTGGTAAACACTGATGCTAAATAAGGTGTGGATTAAACATGCATCTTAAATCTGGGACAGGAATTCTTTGGAAAAAAGGAACCAGAATCAGGTATTGTGGTACAAATGGCGAGAGCGCTGGATCTGAAGACAGGAAGGCTAGCTCCAAAAGGCCACTCAGTACCAGCCTTTATGGGGCAGCCTTGGTCAAGGCGGCCCTCATAGAGCTGAAGATGAGCAAGGGAGAAAGGGCTATAGAGCAACCAGCCGTGATAAGCAGCTGAAAGCTTCAGTATAACCCAAAGACACTCTTAACAGGTTGTTCTTTAGACTCTGGCTGAATTAAATCTGGGATGTCCATACGTATGTACATTTGCCCCTGTGTACATATGACTGAGAGAGGTGTGCATATCTCTCTGAAGTGTACATTCCAGCAGCATTTTGTTGTCTGTAGACAATCCCTCTGACAAAACAGGCCTCCCGCTCAACACATGCCAGGACTGAGTGAGAAAAACATACCACAAGGTTGCGCTTTTCTTCCCGCACATCAGAAAAACTTTCACGTATGTTCTCTCGGAGTAGCTTCAGAACATCTATGAACACTTTGATTTCATACTGGAAGAAAGAGGAAATGATGAATGAGGAAAGGAATCATTGCAATGTGGGGAAGTGCTCCGTGTTGATATTTGGAGGGCCAACTTCGTAGAGATCCCTTCCAACTGTATGGCTGGAAGGACTTCCAAAGGTCCTAGTTCTCACCCCGTGCTAATGCAGGAACCCTATCCCTAAAGCATTCATCTCAGCTTTGTGAGGGCTTAGGGTGGTCTCCCAAAAAAGCTGTTGCCAGGACGGGGGGTGGGGGTGGAATCCCATTTGGATTGTTGTTGATCAAGGGGGAACCTTAGCCTCGGTTCCTGCATCTTCAGCTTTCACACGAGGACATTTTCCAGTATATTAAACTGCTGCTCAAGGCAGAGTAGCCCAGACTGGCTGAGAGTCGCAGTCCAAGAACACAGGTGTTACCCGAAGTTGGGAAGCACTGGGTCAGAGTGTTGGGCTGAGACTCAGGAAAGACAGGTTCAAGCCCCAGCAGACACACGAAACTCAGAGGTTGAGGTTGGGTTACTCCTCCTTTCTCAGTCTGCCCTACCTCACAGGGTTATTGTGAGAAAAAGGAGTGGTGGGGGAAGCAAGCATGCTCATGAGAAGAAAAGCAGAATATAAATGCAAAACAATAATGAGTTTCAACAGCAGATGGCTATCCAACAACTATATCCACCAAAGCATGCTCATGAGAAGAAAAGCAGAATAAAAATGCAAAGCAAACAATAATGAGTTTCAACAGCATATGGCTATTGCTCCAAGACCAGTCAATTGTGAGCCACAGTAGGCCATTGGGTGGCTTCTAAAGACACAGAAGCCAGCCAAGATGGTTTTGCCTGGTCATGTGGCAACCCAACCTCTCCCAAGAGCAGAGCTGCTAAAAAGCCAGCGTCCTTTTCCCCAACACCATCGCTCTCTTCTAATCTGTCTCCCGCGAGGAGAGACCTGAAAACATTCAACCCAAAGCTGGGAGCAAGACCTCCATACCTTGTATTCTTCAGCAGCATCTTCTACCGAAGCGACAATGTGGTTGCAGTGCACTCTAGACTTCTCGCATTTGGAGCATAAGGGAACGTAGTCATCTTTGCAGAAAAGCTTGGTGGGCTCCTGGTGAACCTCACACCGGTTCCGGCGGCTTGCGGGCACCCCACCTTGTTGCTGGATCTGCTTAATGATCCACGCGATATTCCCCAACTGCCTGTTGGGCCTAAGGGTTACTTCTGCGAAGATCTGCTTGCACTGCGGGCAAAAGACGTTTCTTAGAGATCCACGCCAGTATCGTACAATGCAAGCATTGCAATAATTGTGGCCACAGGTTAAAGTCACCGGCTCATTAAACAGCTCAACGCAGAGGGAACACATGGATGCGTCTGGAAGAAACTCCGATACCTGCAGATGGTCCATTTTGCCACCACACAAACAGAGGCCATCCGGAAGAGCCTTTGAGCATCCTTCTTATAGCTTTCCTCTTTAGGGCATTGGAAACACACTGGGAGAGAGCAAGACTCCCTCTCTCAGCCAATGAGCTCTGATCAATTACTCTGATCACCTCCACCAACTTCTGATTCACTCAGTGTGGGGAGAATGGCTCTCCAGGGTTGTTAGCTGGTGAGCCTTTTCATCAGGCTCTGCATTTTCACTGGCTCCCATTTAATTGCAGATTTCTGAACACTGGTGGGGCTGCTGTTTCAAAAGCCAAGCTTTATGTGGTTCTGTTTTTAAAATTTCCCCCAGCACTCAAAACATCTGTATCCTTACAGCGATAGATAGATATTTCAATCATATTGCTCTTTAAGGGACCACATGTTTTGGCATTTTTTTGTTTTGTTTCTTTCAATTTTGAATGGGAAATATATATGGATCTGTGTAAACAGTGTGCACAGTGCATGCTGATGACAAAAACTCAGCAGAATCGGGCCCGGCTATAGCTTCATCATCTTCATTTCTCCAGGATTGAAACTCTGCCCTCCTGGA